TCTTTTATTATTTATAACAGTAAAGATAATATAGGTGTATAATGCATTACTCAATCTATATATTCAAACTGTACATCCCAAATATTTTGGGTAACTGGAAGAGCGATTATATTTTATTTTATTGCATTATAATAACTGATTGGCTCTTTATTAATTTATTTTTGCAGCCTATTTTATTATAGTTAGTAAAAGTAAAAAAAATAGTTACTCTCACGATAATTTAGAGTTTATTAATTAAAGTCGCTGCATAATATGCCATTATATATGGAGAGGCCTGCAGCCATTCATCTATCCTTATTGTTTAAATTGTCTGTACTACTTTTCATCCTCCTGATTTCATTAAAAGATGAATAACGTATAAATACGATTATTGATGGCAGATTATGTGTGCAACGACAAGAAACGACCGGAAGACTCGGCGCCATCGTTCTTTGTGTGTCGAAGGACCTGCATAATTCGGTATTTATCGCCATCGTCATCAGGATCGTTACGTAAGGACACTTATCGTCGCGACGATGACTACGATGTCTTCCCAATCCGATCGTATCCTTTACGTCCTTATTCCGATTACAATCACCGAAGCATCCCGGAATTAATGTTTACTATCTGCTAATAAAAAAGCCGCTTGCCTAGCTTTTATCAGAATTATTTATACATTCTCGCAAATTTCTGAGGAAACGATTCATATCAAAAAGGGGAAATCTGATGATATCGTCACTCAACAATGTTCTATTTATGTTTACTGACTGAAATTACTATTTGAAACTATAAAGTTATTTTCTAAAAAAATTGTCTCGCATGTAATAATAATCATAAATCGAACATTAAATCTTTCTGTGCTTGACTTTTTATTATACGCTCCTTAATAATTACTTAAATTTATTACTTTATATTTCTTGTAAATTTTCATATATGATAGTGATTATTCGCCGATAATTAATGCTGATAACAAACGTTGATAGCATTTGTATGAATATACCAAGTGCATTTTATAAGTAAATAAGAGGAAACGAAAGTCTATTATTAAAAAAATTATGCTAATTGGACGATAATGATCTAATTATGAGAGAAGGATAAGATAAACGTAAAAATCTAACGAGCATAACTATATTTAAAGAGTTAAGAACAAAAGTGATTACAGGAAAATTAAAGTATTGCGCAAACTTTATTTTTTTTCTCCCAGCTTTATTTCCCAACTTTATCTTTCCCCACTTTTTGCAGGATAAATTTTACAACTGTTAGAATCGGTATTTTTGCGCGGTAAAAATCTCATGTTTATATTAATTATAAAATACAAACATTATTAGTACACATTGATTAGTCACACAAGTGGCGTTAACGCGAATAATAAGATCTTCTTATCGGCAATGCAATAAGTTGAATCAAAAGCGAGAATTAGAATTGCCTGATAAAGACCATAAAAAAAAACTCGGTATTCAACGAGACGGGAGAACTATTATATTTTTACGCGCTATTCGCTGGCGCGATTTTAATTTTTTTCATAGATATGAATTATCCTACATTTCCAATTGGCGATATATTTTATAGTGCTTTTTATTAACGGTGTGCAATGTCGGTTGATTGATTAAACTAATCGATTTCTATCACGAATTTGCCATATATAACAGCGAGCTGTCACGTTTGTCAAGAATTCGATTAAAAAGTCAAACACAATCTTCAGAGATTGTCAGCTTATCTTAATTAATTCATCGTGGTCTCTACCTGAAGAAAATATGTGCTAACTCAATCGTGTGAATAAATTGCCGAGTCGATTATACAGCAATGACAGATGATGTATCTCAAACGATGTAGACAGATTGTTAAATATTTAAATAACGATTTTATCATGCTAGTCGAATTAAAAAACAAATATATGTACATAAAAAATTATATATAACCGAATTAAATTTTTCGATATTTCAAACGTTGCAAATCGTGCGATCAAGTGCTTGCAATTCCGGGTCATTCGTTTTTTATTTTACAATCTTGTTAGTGATGAACAATCTGCATAATAATGAATAATCAGAATTACGTACATAATTCACATTATTCATGCAGTCTCGATTGCAAAATGTTCCTCGATAATATTATCAATAATTCTAAAGTCATAAATGATCAATTTCATAATCATCGTTGATCAGTTTATAAGAATTACAAAATGTTTGTAATGTAATATTATCAATAAAGGAATTTTTTAAGATAAAGATTCTCGACATATAAATTGTGTACCATCACAATTCTTCGCAAGGAGTTCGGTGCAGAGTACATCGTACACGGCCACCTGTCGGCGCGTACACTTATTCATATCACTTCGTGTACGAAGTGAAGACGAGGAGAACATGAGAGGAGAAAACGAGAGGAGGAATACGGAAATAAAGTGATTTTTCCGCATGTTGTGCTGGCTCTCGTTAAAGCTCGCCTACGCTTTTTTTTTTTTTTTTAACGAAACCCACGCAAACATTGTGAATTAATTTCCCGACTAGCTGGATATTTTAAATTCTTCCCGCTGTCAATGCTGATCTGCTTCGTGAGCGGATCGGAGAAATCGGAATCTATATTAGGTATTTGTTAATTAATTCCGTAAATGACAAGTTTATTATTTATTTATTTTTATCGAGTATTTATACATATCGGCGGGCTATTTATTATTTATTTATTTTTATCAAGTATTTATACATATCGGTGGGCTATTTTTTTCACTCGATTAAATTACGAAATATTTCGTGATCTCGATCGTTCGACGTCGCGCTCACGCGACCTCGAGAAGGATTCAGGACAGTCCTGAGAGTATTTGCATTTTTGCTCCTACGCATTTTATGCATCGCAATGGATTGTGCCTGTGTGTGACGTGTATTGTGAAATCAAGGCTCACTTGTATCAAATCCATAAGCATAAGCGACGGTGATTTCTCGTCAGAAGAGATTGCTGTTCGGAAGAGTAACCTTCCGCGCTTCGCGAATTCTCCGTCAATATGTGGAACGTTCTGTTGCATATGTGGGAGTGTATTCTTCGTAACGCTTTAATTGCACCAATACGCGGCTGTTACACACGACTTGACAATGCCATGTGCAGTTTATGTATCTCGTATCTTTAACGGACCGCCGGCCGATCATAGTCTTCGTCCTTCACTACCATGATTGAATTTCGTTAATGTAACTACGACGATAAAATGAATTTAATGTTGACATCAAAAGAGAACTTAACTTGCGTTAAGAGTTTCCGAAATAATTGTAATTTTTGTTAGAAAATTTTCTCAGATATGGAAGCTAGAAAATTTAGCCATATCTTCAAGAGTGATTAAAAAAGCCGGAAAGTTTCTCGCTTTTTCTAATATTTTATAAAAAATGTTCATACTGTGTGTGAGAGAGAGAGAGAGAGAGAGAGAGAGAGAGAGAGAGAGCGACGAGGGGGGAGAAAATTTCTTCCAAAATTATTTCACAATAACTGCAATATGTTTATAAATGCAACTGAGGACCCAAATGCATCAATGAAATGAAGTTGTAATTACGTCTTTTGTGTCCCCCACTAGGAAGAATCACACAAGGAAATTAATCTTGTAAGATGCCCCGCGAACTCAATTACGAGCAAATATCCACCAATGCTAAATGATAGCCAAAGTATCTAACCACTCTTGGAAAATGAGTAATCTCGCTTTTCCGTGCTCGAACTTCTATCGCGAGCGTTTCGTCACATATTTCAGAGATAAAAATCCCATTTTTAATGCAAATCCCAATTTCGAATCAAATTTGGTTAAAAATATAATGAAAACATGGACCAAATTCTTCTTATATCTTTATTTCTTTCACAATTATTCTATTTCAAGCTTACATTCACAAACATTGTTAATATTTGAAAAAGAATAATTTAATTTAGTTAGTATCAAAGTAATTTAATTAAATTAATTTAGTTAATATTGAAAAAAATATATAGAAAATATTTTTGTTACCCACAGCATATTTCACTTGATAGAAAATTACTTCCTACGGTTAAAATACCCATATCCTTTAAACAATCTTGTTTGTGATAAACTTAGCATGTAGCTTTTTTTATTGACCTAGAACTGAACATCGCGTAATTCTTACGAAGACGCGAAGTAATTTGCTGATCTTTAATTAAGAATTATCTTAATTAATTAAGAATTAATTAAGAATTACGCGCATATAAACGTCCCTGATTATCATTTTTATCTAGAATCAATTACTTCAAAGTCTCTCTGATAATTTTGCTTCGAAACTACGATGTTTGTTGCTTATATCAGGATTAACGATTTCTTTTAACGTGTGTGTATGTGTGTGTGTGTGTGTGTGACCGAGAAATTTACAGAAATCAACGGAAGTTCTTCTCTAAACCCAAATAATCCGGAATTAAGACCGTCTATATCCTGCCGCACTTGTCATGCTGATATACGCTTGTGGACCATCGAGATACGATAATGAAAATCCCCTCGTGCTCCTTAAGGACGTTTATTTACGAGCTATTTGCAGCGAGTATGTCCGCCCTCGCAGCGGCCGCGGTTGCATTTCTACAGCCGCGACTTCTCGTTTGGCTTCACAGCATGAATTTAACCCCCGTCTCCCCCTCCCCTCCTGTCTCCTCGCGTCTTCCTGCATCCCCTCGATTCCTTTATGATCTCATCGTCCTGGAGACCGCGACCAATGACGCAATAAGAATACGCATCGAAATACGCGCGCAGGACGATACGTCAGACGAACGGCAGCATGACCAACAGAGTGGAGGAGGAAGCAAGCGTTCACCAAGCCGATGACGACGGTGCCGATAGGCGACGATGATGATGCCGACGGCGGCGGGACGGCGGTGGTGGTGGTGGACGTGGCGCCCACGGGGAGTATCCTCTTGCTCTCTTATGAACGAAAAATTCTCCCTGCGTAGAATAGTGGGGTAGAGCGACAAAGCGGGGGTGAAAGAGGGAGGGAGGGAGAGAGAGAGAGGAAGAGAGAGAGAGAGAGAGAGAGAGAGAGAAAGCCTCCGCGCATATAAATGTAGCCCGCGCAAGTTCCACCAATCATTCGCCCTCTGACCTCGAAACTCTCCAAGCTATCCTCTTTCTCTCTTCCTCTTTCCGCGCCTGTGTGTGTGTGTGAGTGTGTCCGCTCTTGTGGTACCGAACCCCAGCTAGACCACCGTATCATCCCCGCTACTCTTCGTCCACCTCCTCTTCCGCCACCAGCTCTTCCTCCTACCCTTCGCTCGCCGATAGCCGTACGCATCGCGTGCGCTTTGAGTTTTCGTCACTCGTGACGAAACCCGCGTCTCACAACCACCTCGTGGAGAGAGACCGCAGAAGCGGTACCGAGTACCGGCAGCGAGGCCCTCATCGGATCAGCCCGATACAGGAAGGCACTCTTTGAGGGCACCGGCCTTACACCTGTGTGCAGAGCGACGAAGGACGTGAGAACCGTGGAATTCCCCCTTGTCGACGACGACCATGACGATGGTGAGTATCGCATTATCCGCAGACGAGAAGACGAAGAGATGATCCAACGACGAGTCTGATTCGTTTAATTCTAACGGCAATTCTATGTACTTGAATAACACGCAACGTGCTATGAGAAAGTTGATTTAAAATTTGCTCGATCACTTGTCACAAGTTGTAATTATTGTTCTCTGCTTTATTTATTCAACGTACTTGTCACGCATAATTTTGAGGGGAAATTACACCAATGCGTCCGGGAAGTACTTGGTGTTACCGTCAAGGTTGACACATGTTGAGCGCCTTAACGGTTGGTCGCCTGTGACGATATTTTGATACTGCTGAGTCCTTATCAGTCTCTTTTGAGATACCCATGATCGACACATATGTGCATGTTCGTTCAAGTTTTTTTTTTTTTATCTAATTCGAATGTTGTGTCGGCAAAAATATGATAAATATTACGGTAAGTAAACGTTCGCTACAAAATTCTACGAGGGGAAGAGAAATCTCATCACATGATATCAGACAGATGTCACTTAAAAATTCAATCTCTTCAAATTTTGATAAATTCATCCGTGGAAAGGTTATGTCATGTACGCGCGAAGAGAATATTATGACTTTACTCATATGAAAATCTATTCAGTTTCGCCATGTTTCTGGTAGTCCAGAAATAAACCGAGAAACGACAAATCTTTGACGTAAACCTGATGCATTGTCCCACTCGAAAACTGTCTTTGTCTTTCAGATAGATCCAGGTCAGTTATAGTTTATCACATAACAAAATGAATAATACAAGCAATTAAATCAGAAACGTGAATCAGCAAGGATTATGAATGAAACTGATTTTAATTTACCTCGTTAAGAAACGTAGTGAATTTTATAATAACACATATTTCAGTTTCTAAATTACAGGGTCCGCCAACGAAACGAACCAACGAACGGGGTTTCCCCCCTGATTATTCCGTAACTAATTGATTTTTCATCAAAAATGCCGATATACGTCGATATTGTTTTCAAGAGGGCTGATTGTGATGAATTTAACCATATCACTTCATCCCCTTAAAATTGGGGTAACCATCTTCCAAAAAATCTTAAATAGAAATAGAGATCAAATAATATATCGTTCTTACAATTTTTAAATATTTTAAATCTTATATGATGAATATTCTTATATTATAAAATTATATTAAATTATATTAAATATTTTTTAAATATTTTAATTCTTTTTACAACGGTATCTATTTTAAATTTGAATGAATATTTTTTGCGAAATCACATTTGCAAATTTGGAAAAAAGGATTTTAGCAGCAGGGTTGTAATTGTTTCGCCAACAGCGAAAGTCACTTTCAAATCGATCGAAAGATGGTTCGGAAGTAAGGTAAATTGTTTACTCCGTACTTACTTCCATAGGAGTGGAAAGTTTTGGTTAGCGGACTCTGTATAATTCAATTCCCAGTTAAGCTCTTCTCTTAATTTCTCTTTCTTTACGATCAACCAAAGTCATTATTACGGCAATTATGGTGTTAAGGCTTTTGCCTTGCCATGCGCGTCCTTTTTGCACGTGTGGTGCGCTCTTTTTGTCTTTTTGTCTCCAATGAAAAACAACGAAGACCGAATTTGTAAAATAAAAAGGGATAACGCGGAGATGCTTAGCGTTTCTCGTATTCACATTCACGCTGAAGTCCGTTGCGGACGCAAACGCAATTGTTGAATTATTCCCTTTCCGGGACGAAGCAAGCAGAAATATCCTGGTAACTATGGCAGAATAAAAGCAACTTCCGTAAAGCGAAAAATGGAGTGAAACGGTGACGGAAGAAATATATCGATAACGGAGGCGAAAGGATCTTCCGCATTCTTCCGCTTTGCAATTTTCGACGAAGCACTCTCACCGAATCCAACATATGAAACGTTGCACGGCTGATATGCGTACCAAAGTATTTATTTAAATACCATCGATACCGTTCAACGCGCTAGCGGGACGTAAACATATCTCGGCGCCATAAAAGGTCAGCGGAGAGGATTGACAACATGCGAGCGGTAAAGTGAGCGGCGTGTTTATGGAAGATTAGTACGGCGATCGGTGCGAATTGCACGATATATTGCATGGCCACCCCGAGTTTGCCGTCCTGCGTTTCCGTTCCGGTCAGTTTTGCGGTTCTGCGGCGGAGTAATTCGAGTCCGAAGGCGGGAAAGTGCCTCGTTCCGCTGATGCACCGGGGTTGGAAAAGTTACTTTCGGAAAGTAACGCGTCACGGTTATCCATTTGTCCCATTGGTGGGCACGTCCCGAAAAAAATGTACCGGACATTAAAAAATCCCTCCTAAAAAGTCGTGACACCGAAATCCGAGTGCTGAGACAGTCTTTCAAATTATTGTCTTTCAAAATATGCTTTTACCGCAATGTCCTCCGGAAAATGTGCCAAAATTTAAAAAGTGGAACAATTTCAAAGATAATGTATAATTTTGCATGCAATATTCCGAAAGAAAATGTATTAGAGTTTACAAAGTGGGACAATTTCGAAGATGTTATATAACTTTACACACGCAATATTTCGAAATAAATATACCAGAATTTAAAAAGTGGGACAATTTCAAAGATAATATATAATTTTGCGTGCAATGTTCCGAAAAAAATACAGCAGAATTTAGAAAGTGGAACAATTTTAAAGACATTTATATTTTAAATGCATAATTTTACACGCGATGTTCCGAAAAAAAATGTACTGAAGTTTAGAAAGTGAGATAATTTCAAGAATGCAATGTTCCGAAAAGAATGTAGCAGGATTTAAAAAGTAGGGAAATTCTTTTTATGAAAAATCTTAATATTGAAATTCGAGTACCGAGAGATGTAATTTCGCGAAATATTGTATAATTTTACCGAAACATTGGAATATCTTCTCGTACAGCCTGTTGCATTAGTATCTATCATGTGAGTACAGCAAAGGTGTATTCTAGTAATCCGAATATACCTGTGGGTATTGCTTTCGCGTAATTTCGGTAATAATTCTTCGGCGAAACATAATTCTATGCTTCGGAAAAATTACTCCTCGGAATATTATCTCGATATTCGGATGTTGGTGTTGCGACTTTTCGAGGAATATCAGTTTCCGAGTCTCGAGATTTTGATTTCTCAGGATTCGCGCGAGTCGATGAAAAATTAGCTCATTACCGTTAGAAGGTATTATCGCGAGGAAAAAGTAACGAACCTCGTTGCTACAACTTCTGTTATTTTTTCACAAAGTTTCGAAGATGTGTTTAGGGTTCGCTCCTAAGAAGATGATAAAAGCGACGATTATATATATTCGCTGCTAATAAGCAAAAATAACGTTGTTGTTCAGTCATTGCTGAAAGAGAGCTAATAACTTGCGCGACGGTAACGACAAGTTGTAACATAACGTTACTCTCTGCTCGCAACGCGATGCGACGAGGGGCCTTCTCGTGACCGCGAAATTTCCGAATTACATATATCGTGCACCGGACAGAGGCGAGGTGCAGATCGATAGCACTCGAAATTACTTTAGCGAGAAAAGCCGCTGCGTTTTATGACACCGCGAGGGTGACACGCGCAGCGCGTTTGCGCTCTTCAGATCCCGAAGTGAATCCTCCGCGACAACCAAGTCGTCATTTTGGGTGCTCGTTCATATCTGCGGCAGAAACGAGCAAGAATGCGAGAAAACGAGAATGTCGTGACGAATCAATATTTTCACAAGATAATTCAGTTGACAGCAGCGAGAACATATCTTCCGCGCGCGAGTTGAAATTTGTTTGAGATCGTTTCACTGCACGGCAAGAGCCTTGAGCGTTTCGTTCGCTTCAACATCTCCTGCGTGTTCCTCCACGGAACTATTTTTTTCTCCTGAAAAGCACGGCGTATTAAAATGGCTTTTGGGTCTTCTGGACGCTCCTCGAACTGCGACGCGCTGAAGGGGAAAAGCGACGTGAAATATGGATGTTAATTGGACAAGACCTCTGACAATACGTGTCATCGCGTCCGCAGCAACAGTTTGGCGAATGCGCCACGGACTTGACGTATCATATCGCTGCTGTGGCGATGCTTTCTACGCGAGCTGCGAACGTCACATTTCATGGACTATCTTGTCGCGCACTTGTAGCGAACGTGAAAAGTTCAGGAAAATAGAGAGACGTCTCGTCGGTCAATCAGACCTTTTTGCTAAAGTCTTTTTGCTAAAAAATTTTGCTAAAAGCTTTTCAATACTGCGAAAGAGCGAATGTATAAGCGAGAGCTACGCTCGATCGTAACTTCCGAAGGAAATTTATAATTTCGAATCGAATTGTATCGAGTAAAATCGTAAAATAACATTCCATCGCATTCGGCTGGCAATGCTGAGATACAGCCAAGAATTTCCAGCGAATACTTCCCGGGACAACCGGTCGTTCGTGCTTTTGCTTTCGTCGAAATGCTGCTATTCTCCGAGCATTCTCTCCGCGATCGAGCGAGGGACCGCCGCGATTTTTGCCGTTCTCCGTTACTTTCCGATTGTGCATCGCAATACCGCAAGTTAGTTTTGCACAATATCGCATGCTCGCTGACAGAGACGGACCGCATACGCGTATCAAAGGGCAAATGTAACCGTTGCGGATGCTGGAGACGTTACGTCTAGTCCGGGGCAGTCGCCAGAGAATGCATAAAGTTTCTTCACGCGATGCCAGTTAGACGTACACAGAGCGGCATAATAACCTTAACATTCGGTACAAGGTTGCTGGTATTTTCTAATCGAATACGAATTCCTTCCTAGACATTAACCCTTTATATGGCGGTGATAAGTCTGCTTACCACCTTCTTCTCTTACGTTTTTACGATCTATTGTTTACAGTTTAATGAAGATACACAAGTACGACACCTCATATTTTTTTTCTCATATATTGATACTTACTTTATATGTTTCCCGTGGTGTTTATATCCAATTGTCCATTTTTAATCATTTATATATAAATTATTTATAAATAATTATTTATAAGTAAAGGGTGAAAGAAACGTTTAAAAAAATTTTAATTCTTTGGGAA